CTGGGACTTCCCTGGTGGTGCAGTGGTAAAGAATCCACCTGCCAATGCAGGGGACATGGGTTCGAGCCCTGGTCCGGGAAGACCCCACATGCTGTGGAGCAATGAAGCCCATGAGCCACAGCTACTGAGCCTGTGCTCTAGAACCTGCGAGCCACAACTACTGAGCCCACGTGCCACAACTATTGAAGCCCATGTGCCTAGAGCCCATGCTCTGCAACAAAAGAAGCCACCCTGCAATGAGAAGCCCGTGTACCTCAAAGAAGAGTAGCCACAACTAGAGAAAGCCCACATGCAGCAACGAAGACCCAATGCAGATAAAAATTAAATTAAATTTAAAAAATAATTATAAAATTATAGTAATTACGGCAGTGTGGTATTGGTATAGGGACAGTAAAATGGACAGAACAGGAGAAGGCAGAAATAGTTGCTATAATTGTTTGGGTCACCAATTTCCAATGTGGTGAGAGGGGTTTTTCCATACCAACAATTTCTGGGACAACAGCTGGGTGTCCTACAAGTTATCTCAATTCTGACAGTATCTACCTGGAGACAGCATCACATTCCACAGGTTAAGGGCTCAGTTCTACAAGACTGCTCCTGACCCCAACTTCAGAGGCCAGTCTCAAGTCCAAGTTATCACCTGTTCTTCTGACCAACCAGCTATAAATCAAAGGTTCCCACAATCCCCTCTTTGGGCTTGATTAACTTGCTACATCAGCTCACAGAACTCAGAGAAACGTTTTACTTACTGGACAGATCACCGGTTGGTTATAAAAGGACATGACTCAGGAACAGCAGGATGGAAGAGATGTATAGGCAAGTCATGTGGGAGGGGGCGCAGAGCTTCCAAGCCCTCTCAAGGCACACCACTCTCCCCAAATCTCCACGTTTGCCAAACCAGAATCTTTCCAAACTCCGTCCTTTTGGGGTTTTATGGAGGTTTCATTACATAGGCATGATTGATTAAATCCTTGATCATTGGCAAACTGAATTCAACCTTCAGCCCCTCGGCCCTCCCCAGAGGTGGGGGAGGTTAGTGAAAGTTCCAACCCTCTAATCACGTGGTTGGCTCTCCCCGCAATCAGCCCCCACCCATAGGTTTCTCAAGTGCTTTCCAAAAGTCACCTCATTAACATAACAAAACACCATTATGGCTCTCATCCTTAGGAAATTCCAAGTGTTTTAGGAGCTCTGAGCCAGAAACAGGACAAAGACCAAATACATACTCCTCATTATAAATCATAATATCACATAGAACCTTGCATAAATGGATATTTGATTTTTGACAAAAGTAGCACTGCAGAGGAGTGGGGAAAGGTCAGTTTTTTTTTTCTTAAATGGTGCTGAGACAATTGGGTATACACAGGGAAAAAAATGAAATTTAACCCTGATTTCACCACACACACATACATCAATATACACAATCCCTCCTCATTATTTACAGATTTGGTACTTGTGGATTCATTTGCTCACTAAAATTTCTTTGTAATCCCAAAATCAATACTTACCGTGTTTTTGTGGTCATTTGTGATCACGCACTGAGTGGTGAATTTGAGTCTTTCAACACAGACATTGCCAGCTGAGGTCGAATAAGGTCATGCTCTCCGCCTTATTTCAGCTCTCATACTGTAAACAAGTTTCTTTTCAAGGTCTATTTAGCGCCATATTTCTTGCATTTTTTTTTCGCTTGTTGCGGTGATTTTGCTGTTTAAAATGGTCTCCAAGCACAGCACTGGAGTGCTGTCCAAGTGTTCCTAAGCAGGCTATGATTTGCTTTATGAGTATTAATAAACTTTGTTCAGGCATGAGTTACAGTGCTGTTGGCCATGAGTTTGTCAACCTAAATAAACCTAGGAGGCAATAATCAAGTAGAAAGCATTTATTTGTGTCGACTTAAAAAATACACAATGTGAGAGTTGCAAGTTAAGTTTTATTTGGGGCAAAATGAGGGCTGGAGCCCGGGAGACAGCATCCCAGATAGCTCTGAGAAACTGCTCCAAAGAGGCAGGACGGAAGGCCAGTATATATGTGATTTTGGTGAAGGGGGAGTACATGCAATAGAGCACATATTTTTTTACAGAAGGTTTCTGCAGGTTACCGCTAATCACAAGGAGCAGTCGTCACCAGGAAGGCTTTTAGTGCTTTTCTAGATATGAGGAGATGAAAAACTTGGGCTCATAAAATCAGCTCCTGAAAATATCTAACTATCTGAAGATCTGTTCTGCCAGTTTTTCCCAGAGCACAGAGTGCCTCATTTCTGCTCTCCACCCTGAAGTGCTTTCAGGGGTGTTGAAAATCAGCAGCTGCAGCGGCACCTGATTTAATCCTTGTAGCGATAGATGGCAAGTGCCAATGGTGAGTGCCAATTCGTAGTTGACATTTGAGATCAAAGAAGTGCAACTCGGGCACGCAGATTCCGGTTGCAACCCAAAGTGTCTCACCAGGGAGTAAAAGTTAGGAGCTCTTAAAGGCAAAGAAGGGGGGTTTGCATTACAAGGAATTTTAATTGGAATTAGAGGCAGAAGGGAGGTAAAGTTTGTTACTGTGACAAGTTGCAGGTGTTATTGCCGACTCCCAGTCCTTGGTTTGTAGTTTGACCCAGTTCAAAAGTTCATGGCTGTGGGGCTTCCCTGGTGGCACAGTGGTTGGGAGTCCGCCTGTCGATGCAGGGGACGCGGGTTCTTGCCCCGGTCCGGGAGGATCCCACGTGCCGCGGAGCGGCTGGGTCCGTGAGCCATGGCTGCTGGGCCTGTGCGTCCGGAGCCTGTGCTCCGCAATGGGAGAGAGGCCACAGCAGTGAGAGGCCCGCGTACAGCAAAAAAAAAAAAAAAGTTCATGGCTCTGAAACCGTGCAACACAAATTGGGACTTGAACCCAGCCAGAACCCAGATTGGGGTTCCACCCAGTTGGGACATGCATAAAGTCCACCTTGGTAATGGCCTCCCAGCTCTATTTTAAGACCCCTTGACATAAGTGACTCCATTTTATTTCACATTTCACAAGTTCGAAGTTAATGAGCCAACGATTTGGTCTATCCAGAAAAAGGAAGAGGAAATTTGTCCATCTTTACATCAGGCAGCTCTGGAAAGTGCTAAAGTAACAGCTATAGTGTGTGATGATGCTATGGAAAAGATGGAAGAGTGGCTAAGTCTGTGGATTTATAAGATGATAACCAATTAATAAAAGCATAGTGGGCCTCATTGTTGTGAGGCTGAAAGCCAAAGAAATTTACAGTCAGATTACTCAGGGTTAGGAAAACATTAAACCCTCTTGACTAATCCTGGCTGATTGGCTTGCTTGTTTCAAAAGGCAATATGGTGTGAAAAACATTAAACTTGTAAGTGGGGCAGGTTCTGCAGGTCAGGAGGCTGCGGAAGAATTTTAAAAGTATCCACTAAGTGTTGTACAGGAATAGAGTAATGGGAAGAGGAGAGACTATACAACACAAATGACACTTCAGTTGGTGAGAATGTCACCAGAGACCCATAGGAACCTAATCCTGTATTTTTCCTAAGAGCATAGTTCATCATTTGCTAATTCAGTGTTTATGGTGACTTTGTAGAACATAACTATTGTGAATAATGAGAATCAGGTATATATATTTATATATAATCTTACAAATCAATAAGGAAAAGACTACGAAGACCTCTACAGAAAAATGAACAAAAGATTCGAACAGTTCCTTCAAAACAGAGTAATTCCACATGTCCAAAGATCATTTGAAATGGTGCTCAACCTTATTAGTAATCAGGAAAATAGAAATTAAAACCACAGTACCAGAGGCCTTGCAGACGCCGCCGCCCTGAGCCTCCCGCGCTGCGCACCTTGGTCAACTCCATCGTGTTCTTCGACATCGCCATCCAGGGAGAGTCCTTGGGCTGCATCTCCTCCGAGCTGTTTGCAGACAAAGTTCTAAAGACAGCAGAAAGCTTTCGCGCTCTGAGCACTGGGAAGAAAGGATTTGATTACAAAGGTGCCTGCTTTCACAGAATAATTCTGGGATTTATGTGCCAGGGTGGTGACTTCACACGCCATAATGGCACTGGTGGCAAGTCCATCTATGGGGAGAAATTTCATGACGAGAATTTCATCCTGAAGCATATGGGTCCTGGCATCTTGTCCACGGCAAATGCTGGCCCCAACACAAATGGTTCCCAGTTTTTCATCTGCACTGCCAAGACTGAGTGGTTGGATGGCAAGCATGTGGTCTTTGGCAAGGTGGAAGAGGGCATGAATATTGTGGAAGCCATGTGCTTTGGGTTCAGGAATGGCAAGACCAGCAAGAAGATCACCATTGCTGACTGTGGACATATCTTATAAATCTGAATTGTGTTTTATCTTAACCACCAGACATTCCTTCTGTAGCTCAGGAGAACACCCCTTCACCCCCATCTGCTCGAAATATCCTACAATTTTTGTGTTCTTACTGCAGTTCTTTCGGTTCCATATTTTCCTTATCCCCCTCCAAGTTTAGCTGGATTGCAAAGTTGTTTATGATTATGGGATAAAAACTAAAAAACAACAACAAAAAACCCGACAGTACAAGATCATTACCCACATTCCAGACTGGCAAATTTTTACAGTCTGATAATATCCAGTGGTGAAAAACATATAATTCTAATACTCTATCGGTGGACGTGTGCAATTAATATAACCACTTTGGAAAACAGTTAGGAATTATTTAATAAAATTGAAGACACACGTACTCCGTAGCCCAGCAATTCCACTCTTGAGTAAATACCATAGAAAAGTGCTTGTATATATGCATCAGTTTTCTTAATAAGTATGGAAAATGTTAGAGCTCAGAGCAGCCTCCAGAGACTGGTAATGTGCTCTAGTCTAGAAGTAACTGAGATCTTTTTTTAGCAGATTTGCTCTATTTTTAAAAGCAGAACAATTTTCATTTTCTTAGCTTAAGATTCCATTTAAAATATTTTAAGTGTATTAGCATATTAAAATGTACAGAAAGCTAAAGACGCATTCCCCTGCTATTGTTATGTTAATGGACATGTCATTTCTCATTTTAAGTTTTATTGTCCTTACCTATTAAATAGCAATGAGCCAATTCCATTAGCTAGAAATGTATTAGCAAATAACAGAATACCTGAAGAACAGTGGTTCAAATAGGAGTTATCTTCTCTCACAATAACAGAAATCCAAAAATGAGCAGGCATTGTTTGAATTAAATAGTCTTTGAATTAAAGGACTTAGTCCTTTGAATTAAAGGACTAAGGCTCTTTGTGTTTCACCATCATTACTGTAGGGGAGTAAAACTTGCCACCCCAAAATGTCTCTTTGGCATGCGGATTATTTGGAGCTGAAAACAATCAAGGCCCAAAAGACTCAGGAAGAACCTTTGACTTTCCCCCTAAGTGCCTAAAAGAATGTAGATAGAGGACCTGTTCCAGGAAGGGGGCCAGCACCATAGATAACTACAATTACGAACTAGGTGTGTGGACAGGGACAGACTTAGCTAAGTCTGTTGGTTAAAATTCCTTTCTGTGTCCCAATGTCTCTGCCTGGCCCAGCAAACATTTATTTACCAAACATTTGCTTTTCCATCTCCATGTCAATTGCCTTTCTCCCCGTGAAATCCCAAACCACTAACTACATCAACATCCTTTTTTGTTTTTAGCTGAGGATGGTATATAAGGTGAGGGTTTCAGACATTTTGGTGAGTTACTCAGTGTTCCTGGGTCTCTTCCATGCATACATGTTATTAAACTTTGTTTGATTTCCTCCTGCTAATCTGTCTCATGTCAATTTAGACTAGCCAGAAGAACCTAGAAGGGTAGAGGAAAATTTCTTCCTCCCCATCATTACCATGTGGTTGTACAATGGCTCCTGTACTTCCAGGCATCACATCTGTGTGTTATAGGCAAAGAGGGTAAAGGAATGAGGCTAAACACATGTTATCTGTCCTTCTTTTCATCAGTAATCAAAATTATTTCTCAGAACACTACTTAGATTTTTCTTTCTTTCATCTTTTTGGCAAGAACTATGCCACAAGGTCAGTCTTGGTTGCAGGGGAGACTGGAAAACAAGAATTCATCTTTCCAGCCTCTGGAGTAGAAGAATGTAAAAGAGAAATGCTTAAGGAATGAACACTGTATGAGCCAATACAATGCCAGGTACACTCACCTTACCTACCCCAAAGGGTTGTTATGAGGATCAATTGTGCTGTCAGATTTGAAAACCTTTAGAATTTACAAAGTGCTAAACACATGTAAGGAATTATTATGCTCATCTTTTGGAACTAAGTATTATTTGGTACGTTAGTGAACACACATTATGATTCAATGATTAATTACTGAGAAAAAGATCTTCTATGCAAATATTATACCAGATGATTTAAATCTATCTATTTTTATCTATTTTGAACATCAGCTAGCAACTGCTAGCTTGGGACTTTGCTCAGGATAGGATATCTCTACTTAATGAACCAATGTGAAAAATTCCTTTCTTTTTTAGGAGATGAATCTGGAAAGCTTGTCATATTATTTGTCTCTGACTAAAGTTTCTACTGCGGATAGATGGAAGACAAAGAGAAAATATCCCCTATAGAAATAGGCAAAGGAGGGCTTCCCTGGTGGCGCAGTGGTTGGGAGTCCGCCTGCCGATGTGGGGGACGCGGGTTCGTGCCCCGGTCCGGGAGGATCCCACATGCCGCGGAGCGGCTGGGCCCGTGGGCCATGGCCGCTGGGCCTGCGTGTCCGGAGCCTGTGCTCCGCGGCGGGAGAGGCCACAGCAGTGAGAGGCCCACGTACCACAAAAA